GGGCGAAGAGGGTCGGGGCCCCCTATACGATCCTGGCGAAGCCGAGCGCTGGTGGGTAAATGGGTATATAAGCGGGGCCCCGACGATTCCATCTCGACACACGACCCAACCTTCATCCCGATCACCAACGGTTGTTCCCTTGCAATACCGAGCCTAATCGCACGCGCGCGAAAAAACAGAGAGAAAGAGAAAGAAAGAGGAGGGTACTTGATCGGTGCATCTCTTCGATTACTCTTTTGTCTTGTTCCATTCCGGGAACAGAGAGTTCGACTGAGTTTAACCGGTCTCAGCGACAGTTTAATCGGTGAGAGTATTCCCCGGCCAGACAAGGAGCAGCAGGAAGAACCAGGACCGGGTCAACAACAGTCGACAGACTCTTACCAGTTCCACGGACGAGAGAGAAATACGTGAGTGACATTTTTCTATGGAATCCATTTTCGTTTTTCTTTGACGGTTGACAGCTTCTTGCTTTCTGATCCACAATACTTGATACATATTTTGCTTAGGAGTTATCGTGCGTGCAACTTTGGCTTCCCTCGAGAGAAAGTGGAAGAGGTATTATTTGGCCTTCTGCTCTTGCAAGGGTTCAGTAGATTTCACAAACTTCGAAACGTTTATACTTAGCTGGAAGTCTATGTTGCACCCGAGTACCTTAGGGAAGGTGTGGGAGTAGCTTGGTACTAACTGGGAGCTCGATGTTTCGAAATTATCACTTGTGTCCACTTTCCATAGGACGATTTTGATCAATGTTCGCTTTAATATTTCATTTACCTTGTTTAAAACAAATTTATAGAAAGTCTACTTTATACAGAACAAGTACAGCTAGATAGAATAAATAGTATTCCTAAACTGGACAAAGTGAATTGGACACATTTGCAAAATGGCAATTGGGGTCTCTTTTCTTACATCACCCTTTTTCTTGAGAAACTAGCATTTACACATTTTTGCGTGTGAGAGCCAGTCAAATCCATCTTTTCTATGCAATCATACAAGAATCCTATTTTTAAAATAAGAAATTTGAAAGAAATTTTTTCTTCATGAAATGGGTTAATCTGGCTTTCATATACAAACTAGATAAAATAGCAAATAGCGTGTAATTAAAATGTTCTGAGGCAACTAAATTCCAATGCAAATAACACCGTAATAATTTTGGGCCACTTCGATTAAAATTCTTGAAAAAGTACTTGTAGCGTAACCTAACGCAGTCCACATACGCGGCAACATGTTGCACATAACAGCTCCCAGGTTTTATAGAACTGTATCAGTATTCCTATTTCTGCATCGATGCAAGTTGATACGAATCTACTCACATTGTAACCTGCAATCGATACGTATACATCGCAACATGGTTCGGTGTGTGTGGGCCGCTTTGCGATAGCCGGTTCGTAGCTGAAGTTGTTATTTCGATCGATCGATCCGCAGTGAACGTCGTCGCGCACATGCTTTTGTTTCTCATTAAGAATCGAAAGTTCGCGTTTAGAAACTTGAAGTCTTGATTGAAGTTTTATAAGAACTAGATGTATTGTTCTTATAAGGAAAGAAGATTCGTAGAGAGTTTCTTGGGAAATTGTGATCGTGGCTGTTCAAGTTCGTCGATCGATCGATTTCTATCGAACGCTGTTTCTCAAACGGAGAATTGACAGCTTGCGAGAAAAACAGTTTGCCTGAAAGTAGGATTTTGAAGCTCGAGCCGATACAAGTAAGATTACGGGGGAAGAAGGGTATGAAAGTCCGCGGTGATCGAAGGAAAATACTGAACGATCGAAACGTATAATTTCTCCATAGGTTTCTCAACGAACGTTTGCGTAACTTCTTTCCTCCTCCTCCTGCAACCTACTGTTTTTCTCGTTTCGTCCTTCTCTCACGGTGGATATTTCCTCGCAACTAATTAGCCGGTCGCTAATCAGCTTAATCTACGAGTTAGCGAGGCTGCGACACAGACGCGAACGAGCCAACCGAGGATCCTCTAATTTGCTTTCAGCAAAAAGAAACTGCGTACAAACTGCTAATTTTCTGACAATTTTCTTTTCTGAATGACTAAACGTTGCTAAATGATTCGAAGTTCGCTAATTATGCTCATAATTCGAGATTCAATGATTTCAGATTCGATTGCAATATCAAGGTTCGATGACTGTTGGGAAATGTTGACTTCACGATTATTTTTTTTTTTTTTTGACAAAATAATTTTATTTTGATATGTATATGAATATTCGTATGTGGAGAGAGTATATGTACATTCTTTGAAAGAAATGATTAGTTCCGGTGAACTTTGAAGTAATTTTAATAGTCTTCTTGGAATTCAATGACTGAAAAACATTAATCATTCTCTCGGTGATCGATTGTTCCGAGTATCGACAATGTCCAACCATCCACTTTCACATTTCATAAATCAATCTTGCGATCTTTTATCTACATATTTCCAATTTGCATATATAAAATATACTACGTGAGCACAATATATAAAACATAAGAAATGATATATGTTAATGGTACATACATCAGTTTTATTCCATCAAATAATACAAGTTAAAAATAAAAAATTACAACTTAAATTACTGCGTAATAATTCATGTTTATTTAACATTTTCGATAAAAACGAAGCACCATGACATTGTCGAAACTATATCTTACTATGCCATATCTTTGTAACCTCATGATATTTGCAATAAATCGAAAGAAAATTTTTTAAAAAATATAGATTGAATGACAGCAGTCGAGGGGTTAAAACGAGCAACATTCCGGTACGTTCGCGTTAACTGCGACGCATTCCTCGTCCGGTTGATTCAATGTGGTTAGATTAGATCGACAATCGCGAGCCTCGAAACGGATAAGAGGTCGATAATAAGCGAGGTATCGCGAATAATAGAAGGCGAGAAAGAGGGAGGAGGGAGAAAACGAGAGAAGGGCAGAAAGCATTGAAGCGGTGAACCACTTGACGGGTCGCGTCTTCTTTTGTAACCGGGTACCACCATTATTACATCTCTGATGATCTTGATAAGGTAATGGGTGTCCATCATCTTTCACAGGCATTTCCTCTTCGTCGACCAATGCCTGCTCGTTGGATCTTGCCTTCAATCTTTTTTCCCGTCAACCGTTCCTTCTCATTCGCTTCTTCGAACAATCGAAACGTGGAACGCGAAACGTGTCGTTTCTCGCAGAAACGCACTCGAGACCACCTCTCCTCGCTAAGTAATTTGCAGTTAACTCCAGTACGCTTGCAACACGATCCTAAACGATTGTTATTAACACTCGACGCCGAAATGTCAATGACTTTCCAATCTAATTTTTGGATATATAGAAACACTGTCCTTTGAATCGTATTCGTTTTAAAATTGGGAGATAAGGGAACAAAATTTCATTTTATTATTGCATATATTATTGCAAACTTTAATATTTTTTTACTTGGAAGTAGATTAATTATATTTTATAACATCAAGGTCCATATAGCCAAGAATTTCGAAATTTCCAAAAATGAATGAGGAAGTGCGTGGACATCTAACGCCTAGAGATCTAACTCGTGAAAATCTATCAAGTAGAGATTTAACGTCTACAAAATTTGCAAATACAATAGGTGGCAATGACAAATACGATAGGTGGCAACCTAACACGTGAAGCTCTAGCGTAGAAGTCTAACAATCTGTCGCGCAGAGACCTAATACGTAATCGACCGCACAACGAACATAACGCGCTACAATCCGTGGCTATAAAACGCGTGGCGAATTCGCTGCGATCTAAGAGATTAGAAATCGTAACTAGAAATTTCGATTGTTTCACAACGAAATATGAAAGACAGTCTTCCGATTTGTGCCACCGACCATTCACCTTTTTTATCCAGCAACAGTTTACGTGGTTTAGGGCAATGAGCGATTCGGACGAAAGTCGACTGCAACATTACCAAACGCGCGAACTCGCGCGCTGGTACACGCTTGGTCATCGTAAAAAACTGGATTGCTACGCTGCCTCTTTTCCTCTCTTCATCCCTCGTTCCTGTCGTTTTCCCTCTCCAACACCTTCTCCTTCTTCGAGAACGCATTCCAACTTGGTTGCGTTCTCCAGAAGGTGTGTCGTTTATGATAACAACGCCATTTTTCTACTCCTCGAGTGAATCCTTCGAGCCGACAGTTTCAAGATTCTAGTTCGAAATGTAGATCGAATCAAGAGGAGTCTCTGCGATAGAGAAGGTTCGCGAATGTGGACAGCTTCCTCTCGGTATAAATTACCCGCTCGATTGACCGCGTGTTCTAAGCGGAAGGTCGCTCGAATCTGGCTCGAAAGGACGCTTACTGCGTTTACATGTTTTTTATGCTAGATACTTGAAAGCTACTGCACTGGTTACTCTATTTCATTTGATACTCTGGCACTTTAGTATTCAGAGATCATTTTATTCTTAGGTCAGTTTTGGAAGGTAGAAGGTAGAGTGTTTAGAAGGTATTTTCACATTTAGTCAGTTGTTGAATTTAATACTTGGGTTACGTCTAAGTTAAACATAAGCATTCAAGTTGTGGTACTATATTAGAAGGTATTTTCACATTTAGTCAGTTGTTGAATTCAATACTTGGGTTACGTCTAAGTTAAACATAAGCATTCAAGTTGTGGTACTATATTAGAAGGTATTTTCACATTTAGACAGTTGTTGAATTTAATACTTGGGTTACGTTTGAATTAAACATAACAAGCATTCCAGTTGTGGTACTATATTAAAAGGTATTTTCACATTTAGTCAGTTGTTGAATTCAATACTTGGGTTACGTCTAAATTAAACATAAGCATTCAAGTTGTGGTACTATATTAAAAGATATTTTCACATTTAGTCAGTTGTTGAATTTAATACTTGAGTTACGTCTAAGTTAAACATAACATTCAAGTTATGGTACTATATTAGAAGTATAATATTCAAAGGATAGTATACAATCCAAAGGTAGAAAGTCAAATTTCATCCAAGTCAGAAACATCTATGAGTCCATATCAAGCTACGGTCTTTGGTTATATTTACATCAAACTTGCAATGATTGTGAACTACGTTTGCGTTAGAGACCGCAAGTAACCAGATTTAATTTATTTATAGTTGATTTTAAACTAAAATTCCAGCTTGTAAAAATTTCGAGCTGGCAACTCCGCTGGAGGATAAATTTCGTCAGCGTTTTATTTCGCTGCGAGACGCAACACGGTGTCGCATGGACACCACGCGTCGATTATCTCCGGTTTCTCGTCTACCCACTCGTTTGTGCCAGGCGTTCAACGCGATCCTCGTTCTCGTTGTCTATACGATACCGATATGCGCAGCAGAATCGATTTACACGACGATGAGCCTAACGACGGGTGTCAATGTTCGCAATTGAACGCCGGTGAATTCGAGGGTCGAATTTCTTTTTGATTGGGAACGACAATTTCGAACACACGGTATCTTGATGTCAACGAGTTGTCCTCTCTCTTTCCGCTTCCACATGCTCCGGAAGTTGCGCCCATACTTTCCGCTCGCCATGCAACATTCTTTTCACCGTTGATGATACTAATTAATTGGCTGTTTCTCTATTTCTTAATAGTTTCATGGATTCGATGTGGAATTCGTGCTGAGGTCATTTAACTCTGCAGCCGTGTTGATAGAGTTTGTTTTAGGTATACGGAAATTATAGATTCAATCTCGACAGGGTCAAATTGAGGTCTGCTATCATGATACCTCAGGGTTAAGAATAGTATTACAGAAATCAACATTGTGTTCACCTTTCGCTGCATTGTGCACGTGTTACATAAAATGCACAGCTAAATGAATTGCATTTCGTTATCGTTGTATTGAAAATATTTCTCTGATTACAAAACTTAATTTGCAAATTCGAAATGTTACACAATCTTTCCCAAAATAAATTGTCTTTTCAAAATGCGTCTAAAATCAAAGCAATAAATTCAACACCGAAATATCCAGAGACGTTTACGATAAGATAAAGAGAATAAAATAATACATGAGAATAAGCAGAAAAAAAAATATGAGAAACAGTGGAATTTCGTAATTCCCAGGTAATTAACGATGAGAGCAACGACCGTTCGACGTTTGCCTAAAAACAACGGTTCGTTCAATTAAATCGCAGCGCATTATTGACCCCTTCAGGTAATCTCGCGGCGAGCATCCGGTGGCGAACACGCAAGCACGGTACACGTGTTGCATGCGAACGATTAATTCGCGGTACACGAAGAAGAAGCGAGATGATTCGAGCGCGACGAAGAAAGACATGTGCGCGTCCGTGCGCGGAGAAGTCGCGCGAACACGCTGGCGGGCTGTTAACGAGCGCGAGGGGCGCGCATCCTGTCATTAGCTCCATAACGCTCGCCTTATTCAAAGCATTCGGTTCAATGTCACTCGTTCCCTCTCCTTCCTGCCGATTCTTCTGCAACCAGCCCCTTGTCCATCCTTCCCTCCCCTTTTCCCGCCTCTCCTTTGCTCGCTTTTCGTCTCGCTATATCCTAGCTCCATTCATACGTGTTCTTCCATTCAGCAGGGTAGATGCACCGTTTACACTTTAACCCTTTCACACAAATCTCTTGATGTCGACATTCTCTAAAGACTCCTCTCTGCTTATATTTTAGAATTCTTCATTTTTGACAAATGATCATTTTTATTTTTGGTAATTCATCTATTTGTACCGTTCTGTTTGTGAATGTTAGAAATAGTAACTTATATTTTACGGGTACGTTCGAAAGCCTTTAATGGAAGTCAATAGATGTCTTGTAAGTAGAATGTATTCCTAAGGATGCAGAATTTGATTTTCATTTCAATTTGATCCTCGAAAGTCCACACGATTAAGGGTTTCTATCATGTGTTCAATACTGATACTATAAGATGTTACACGAAAATTGTGGGTTTATTACAAATGAAAGAAATTGAAACAATTTATTGCAAATGAATTTTATTCGTATACCTGAAACACGTATCAGAACTTTCAATTGTCAAAATATAAACTACCTCAACATTCACACTCTTCAAAATGATAAACTTTAAAAAAGTACACAGATAAATGAGTAAAGTACACAGATAACGATATCTCACAATAATTGAATTATTTTGATACACTGTTAATGGAAGATATAATCAGTAACTAACTTAAAAGAAAGAATCGTGATAATGGTACAAGTGGTCAGAGTCGATGCGGTGGCCATAACCGGTACATCTACCCTAGCAGAGTTCGTGTACTCACGTCCGCTCTCCTAACTGGAAGATTATGAGCAACGACGTCCCCTTGTAGAACTTCCTCTATATCTCTCGCTGTATTACGATAGTGATTCTCAACTATTCAAACAGAATTTTCAAAGAAAATCTGTAAAGTTAGACTACTGCATTTGCACATGCTGATTTTGTTGAAAAGTTACTTATTAGGAAATATTTGTGTGGGTGGACATAAACTGATCAAAATAAAAGCTAAGTTAAGTGTAAAAGAAAGAACAGAGACTTGAGAAATTACAAGACACTCTCAAAGATTATCTCTTCAACGTCAAATGATGCTAGAAAACATCAAACCTGGTTAATATTGGCTTAAGACCTGGTTAATATTGGTTAATCAAGCTTAACCCGTACTTCAAAATTAAAAATCAGACAAGTTTTTTAAATCAATCAAATCAAGACAAATGCACCAGAAATCTGGTCATCAGCAATCCACCTTAAGACTCATATTTACCTAATCATGAAATTTTAACTCCAGCTCTAATCACCCACCCCGCATTAAACCTCGAAAGACCAAATCAACCAGATTGTCCAATGACAAGACCAGTCTCTAAAATGGTGGTTCCTGTTTTACAGATATAAAGATGACGAAGCTAATCGTATTAGGGATGGTATGCCTGTTGGGGCTGAACGCGGCGATCGCTATGCCCGTGGCCGAGAACCAGGAACCGCTGCAGGTGGTACCGCTCGAGAAATCATCGACGGCCCCTAAATCCGTGGTATCGGAGGAAGCTGTCGTAGCGGCAGAGGCTCAGGAAGCGGCGGTTCCAGCAGTGCCAGCGGTTCCAGCCCAACCGGAACAAGTGCGACCCGAGGGCGACAAACCCTCCGCGAGGAGCGAACCTGCAGCCGAGAATCTTCAGCTGTCCGAGAAGCCCGAGGAGAAGAAGGAGGAGGGTCAACAAGCGAAACCCGAGGACAAGAAGGAAGAGAATCTAGAGAAGAAGGCTGAGCAACAACCGCAACCAGAAGCTCAGGCGCCTGCTCAGGAACAGAAGCCTGAACAAGCTCAGGAGGCCAAGAAGGAAGAGGAGAGCCTGAAACCGGCGGCTTCTGAAGCTCATGAGGAGGTTAGGGCTGCACCTCAGGAACAGAAAGTGGACGTCGCTGAAGTCCCAGCCGAACAAGCAGTAAGTATTAATGATCGAGTCTGATTAATGATCAGTTTGAAGAATTAGTTGAATGTTTCAAATGGTGTCGCTAAATGTCGAGGAAAAGTTAATGAAAAGAAGTATTCGATAGCGTGTTTGTAAAATAATGTTCCCTTTGCAGAAGGTAGCGGTCGTGGAAGGCAAGAGCGCCGAGCAAAGCAGCGAATTCGCGGAAAAGAGCTCCGAAGCTGCGAAAGAAGAGCCGAAAGAGGAGAAGAAATCCGAGGAAGCTAAACCCAGCGTAAGAAAGGAAGACGAGCCCGCAGCCTCCGAGGAGTCGAAAGAGTCGCAGCCGTCCGAAGAGAAGAAGGCAGAAGAGAAACCCCAGGAAGAACAAGAGAAAGAGAAGAAGGCCGAAGAGAAACCCGACCGTGTAACGCGCGATGCTGAGGAATCCTCCCCGGAAGCCAAGAAGGAACAGCCCGCTCAGTCGCAGTCCCCAGCGCCAGCCGAAGCCGAAAAGAGCCAAGCGGAACAATCGAAACCGGAAGAGAAACAAGCTGCTCCGAGCGACAAAGTCGAACCCGCCGTAGAACAACCCGCAGCCAGCTCCGAGGAGTCGTCCAAGAGCGAGGAGAAGGCTGAAACCGAGACTCAGAACCCGGAAGTAGAAGTCAAGAGCTCGGAAGGTTCTTCCGCTCAGGAATCGGTCGAGTCCCAGGCTAAGCCCGACGAGTCCAGCCAGGCGAAACGCGACACAGCAGCGGAAGCCCAGCCTCAGGCAAAATCCGAACAAGCCGAAGAGAAGAAGGAGGAGCCTAAATCGAAGGAGGCCGAGAAGGAGGCGAAGGAACGCTCCGAGGACTCGTCGGAAGACAAATCGGCCGAGAAGAAGGACAATAAGAGCAGCGAGGAGGACAAATCCTCCGAGGAGTCCAAGGAGTCCAAGCCAGCCGCCGACGAATCCAAGCCGGAGCTGCTGCCCAAACCGCAGGAGCTGACGGACAAGGAATAACGGTCGCAGCGACGAGCGGGAAGACGAAGAACGGTAGCCCCGAGAAGCAGCAACATCGACATTGCTCGCTAAGTCGAGACACCGCGTTCAACATCCGACCGACATCATATTGCAATCGCGCGAGTTCTTCCCCGGATTGAAGCGAACGGGGGAGAGCGTGTGCGTCAGGAGCAGCGTGAACGGGAACCGGGAGAAAGGGAGAGAGAGAACGAGACGGCGTGAAAGTGTACATCGGTGTGAATGGATGAAAGAGAGAGAGAGAGAAAGAAGAAAGAAAGAGAGAGAGAAAGAAAGATTGCGCGATGAGTTTTCTGGCAGGGTCCAACTTCCCCGGCGCGCTACGATTCCGTGAAAAATTGATCGACTCGGGGCAGGATGACCACGTGAAACCTGGCTGTGAGGGATAGACTTATGAAAGATGTCGAAGCAAGATCCTGAGGAAACGACGACAATCGACCGACCAGAACGAATCCTTGCAACTTGCTGCTCGATCAGGAACACGTGGCCACCCTTCGGGATCTGACACTTGGCGGACACGCCAGGGATCATCATCCTTGTTCGTCCCGGTGGACACCGCGATCTGTCCGCGGGGACGAAATTGGCCCCTAATTCTTTAGTATCCTTCGTCCCAAATTCCCAAGTTTTTTTTTGTCTCCTTCCTTTTTATTTTTGTCTCGAAAGCACACATGAACCACAACCACAACCTCATCCCAATAAACTAGTGTGTAGCTCGACTCTGTCTTCTTTTTTTTTTAGAGATACGTGTCATTATTATTATTAATATTATTATTATTATTACGATTTAGTACCAGTACCGCTATTATTATTAATATTATTATTTGTATTATTGCTATCATCGTTATAATAATAATTATTATTATTACTGTGACTACTAGTGTTTACAATGTTCCCCAGCTAATATGCGGACCTTTAATCGATACTTGACCATGTTCAAATCTTCAAATATTCGAGTGGGCGTTTAAAAAATAATTCGTAACAGGTTTAACAGGTTCGCTCTCGGTTAAAGAGTGTTCATCATAAACCACCTCTTTCATAAAATAATATTCACGCGTCGTTTGTCTAACATGATGAGTTAATTGATAGTATAGATTTGATCGACAGAAGTCGATAGACTTGATCGTCAACGGCTTTCACCAACATTCAACTATGATAAACACATTAATATGTAAATTTGAAAACTCTTTTCGCAACATATGTTCTATGTTGCGAATTCGGTATCAACGATAATTGAAGTGAATGTCTAAATAAATCATCTAAAATTTTTTTATGAATGCAAATTTAATAATTAAAATTCTGCAATAACTGTTCACAAAGTACAAGTTAAAGTTGATAATGAAATTCAAATAAAATTTAAAGCATCAAAAAAAAATCATGACCCCCAGAAAATGATTGAGATGTTAATCACGATAATAAACAGAGTACCATCTGTACGTTCTGCGTGAATATACAAGACTCGTATTTTCTCCAATAACATCGGACTAACCATGTCGAGAGAAAGAGAATGAAATTACGATGTGTCTTCGAGGAAAGATACTGGAAGGTTCTCTCGGTCCCATAGAGGGACAGCACTTGCACAAGAGTCTGCAGATTCGCGTGATTGGTCGTCACGCCTTGCGAACAATCTCGCGGTAAGTACCACGGCATTTCTCCGGTGATGGGCTAGCGCGAACAACGATTCATCAAAGGCCGAATGAAAAGTTAGCGTACTCTCGTACGATCTGTAAACAGTGAGGATACGCGAGGTGAGTGGACCCCGGTTCGCGAAAATGTCAAGGCGCGTGGGGTTTTGCAACAAACGTGATACGTTGCTTTCGTCGATTCGAGTCCCCGGTCGCATACTTTTGCGCAAGATCGGTCAACGAAAAGCGCCGAGATATCGCCGCTGAATAATCGCGTTTCATGCCGATCCGCGATTTATCCGATGTTGCAATTTTGACGAAAGTAATTAATGAACCGTGTCATTGTCTGTGAATTCAGACTTTTAAAATTACAATGGGTGATTCTGAATTAAATGGTAGATCCGTGATCGTATGATATGCAAACAATTTAAACTTCTTGATGGAGTGGCAAATTTTAGTTGACATTTTAATTGGTATTTCATACTGAAGTCTTAAGTTTGAGACCTTGTGATCATGGAATTTTGTAATATCGAAATATTGGGACTTAGGGAGTTTTGACAGTCATTACGTGGGTGGTAAAGTAACGTTCTCGAAAGTAGGTCTCGATCCATAGAAAGGGAAGCTGTTTGATCAATACTTGCTTAACGTGTATGTAACGAAATTATCGATACCCGGTTGATACTTAACAAAATTATCGATGCTCTGGTGTATCATTATCTATCATTACGAATCGGCTGCATCATTATTTAACCGTATAATCAAATTATTTAGCGGATAATTTGAAAGTCGTGGAACGCTGGAAATGAGTTTAAATCGACTGGTAAATCGATTGTCGAGTTTAATGATTTCATACTTTGTATGATGAATGGCAATGTTAGAGATAAGGGCTTGAAGATAAGGGCCGAAAACAAAATAATTGAAAAGAAAGCGGCAGTCAACTGCCTCCGTGGCGCAATCGGCTAGCGCGTTCGGCTGTTAACCGAAAGGTTGGTGGTTCGAGCCCACCCGGGGGCGGTGAATTTTTTTATTGCAGTAAAATATAACGAAACTTATGATATCACAAACAAAACTATTTTATAAAAATAAATAAAATAACATGTACTCGATAAAATGCGAGGAGTGAATTAATCATACTAATAACCAAAAAGTGGTTGTACACATAAGTAGAAGTCTGTTAAATTTTCTTTGTACCCTTAGGAAGAGAATTAGATGAACTCAATTCGTTCCAACATAGAAAATTGAAAAAATAAATTTTCTACTTTGTTATGAAATAATTTATCAAACTTATTTTGTATCGTAGGTGCAAATAAAAATTTAAAAGAAGGGTTGTTTGAAAAAAAAAATTGGTTTTGACCCCGACGTGATTTGAACACGCAACCTTCTGATCTGGAGTCAGACGCGCTACCGTTGCGCCACGGAGTCAGCTGGTTGGGTTTTGCTTTAACTATGTTATAACGATAGAACGTAAATATCTTTGAATACAACACTAATATATAACAACTATTGACACGACAATAATTATTTCTAACGTATTAAATTAATATTTAAATCTATATAATTCACAAAATATTTTATGTTAAGCTGTTAACAATTCTTTTTATTGAGTAAGCAACTGCAGTCATCTTGCTTAAGAATTACATATGTTAATATAAAAAGTGTATGCGTTTCACATACCTGATTTGTAAGCATAAAACAAGTTAGAACCCCAAGTGACCACCAATCCACTTCCTGCCCATAATACTGTCGGTTAAATATTTCTGGTGCTGTAATAAAATGTGTATATATGTTATAAGATATAAATACATTTTCAATCGTATTTTAATATTTACCCATATATTCTGGTGTTCCACAAAGAGTATTTGTTCTTTCTGTATGATTTAACCATTTTGCAAGGCCAAAATCAATAATTACAGCATGGCCCTCATCATCTAGCAGAACATTTGTTGCTTTTATATCTCTGTGCACTATGCCACCATTGTGTAAAAAGTCTGTAACAAAATAAAGATCAGTAACTTTTACTCTGCATTCAACTGTTTGCTCAAAAGGTGCTGTACTTACCAATGGCTAGAGCAATTTCTGCTACATATATTCTAACTACATTTTCAGGCAGAGAGCCACACTGCACAATTAATGAAAACAACTCTCCTCCACTAACATAATCAGTCACTAAAAATTAAAAACGTTATAATATACAATTAATAATATTTAATAATAATATAGTATTAATAAACCTACATATATATAATGTCTTTCTTCCTTGCCATCTATGGGAACAGTCCAATATAAATGGATGGTGACCAACAAGTTTTTGTATAGACACCTAAAAATATGAACAGACTCAAATTATATTATTCTACAAGCTAAGTATCTATTTATGTTACATACTTCCTGTTTAGCTTGCATTACACCATTTTCTGCAACAACTTTGGCTTTGCTTATTACTTTCAATGCATAATATTCTCCTGTATCATTCTTTTGAATTTGGTAGACTTTTCCATAAGCTCCTTTTGCTATTACGCTTATAAATGTATAAGCAACTTGTAAATTGACTTGTCTTATAGGAAATTCTGGAAGGAACATAGCTTGAGACTTCGAGACTGGCCATAATGTTTTTGATGTACCCAGTGGATCATACAATGTGCCTTCGCTCCAACTGTAAAACATGTGCTTATAATACAAATCCAACAATCATATAAGATTAATTTAAACAATGAAATTACCTTCTGCAAGAGGCACGAGACCATGATTTAGACTCCTTATTCGAAGGATGTGCAGACCCAATGCAACTTCCACCAATTATGTCACTAAGACTATACTGTAAAATGAAAATTAAAACAATATTTGTAAACTAGTATTACTCAAGATACAACAGATTCTTATTTATTTATCTGAACAATACTAATATTATTGAAATCAAAGAGGTTATATCAATTTTGAATAAAATATACCTGACTAGTATACTTTTGATTGCTATGGTAAATGTTTTTAGTAGTGGTATTGCCCATTCGAAAAGAGAAATTTTAATATATATACATATATATTATATTAACGTTATTTTGATGCTTTTTAGTTTTATATAACTCCGCGCTTTCAAAACAATACTTTTAGCGTCATCTAGCGCTGATCTACGAAACAATTATAACACAAAACTTTTTTTTATAAAATCAATTATTTTTATGCTTTTTTAATGTAAAATATTTTAAACTATAAATGCACTTTAATTAATGACGAAGCATTTCGTTTACAATGTTAAAATCAATAATTTTAACGATAATTCAAAACTGAAACAGTACAGCCATCCAGCGGTTCATTGCTGAAACAGTTCTTCTCTTCCAACACTTTTTAACCAGCATAAGAAAATAAATTATACTAATATAAGTATTTAATTAATCACATAATTTTAATAGCAGTATTCATGTTAGCTCGTAAAGTGAAATCTGAATGCACTGACAGAATATTAAGCTGTGGTTGTGGAGGTCGTTTTAAAAGAAAGCGAACAGCTAGTTTAGTCTATCAGAAAGGCTCATTGGTAGATACTTGTATTAAATAATTTTGAAAGTACCGCCACGGATCTTAAAGCGCATAGCAATTACAAATTAAATAATAACGTTCATTATTGCTGACATGATACATTACAAACTTTGTTAAATCTCAAGGATTGACAAGGAAACGAAATCTGAATTAATCCAGTCACGTTTAATAGCCAAGGATTACTGATGTTCAGGACCAACATTACTGATAAACGTCTTTTATATTCTAAGATAATTGAACATACGTTCATTACATAAGGATGTGCATTACTTTCAAAAAATCATTTGTTAGTGATGGTAAGAATAAAGAACCTACATTAATTTTAAATAAACAGTTGTCTGGTAAAAATATGTAAAGAAGCTTTTATTTTTAAATATGATAGTCATCATAATTTTTTTTGGAAGGAAATTTCTTCTGCTACATTGCTGACGCGATAATTTTTAACACCTTATCAACCGAAAATGTAGTAACAGATTCGCTAATCAAACTCAATTTATAAAATCGCTAATAATTCATCAATAACATAAAATAATAAAATGTAAGCATGCTACATTGATACGTTTTATCTAGAAACGGTAGATAAGGTGTTAACCGTTAGCTACACTTTTCTTAATTTTACGATATACATTTAATCATAAAAACACCGATACTCTAAAAGATGAAGGAGCGAATAAATTTAAATAGTAAATATGTGAGTGTAATATACACTGTATGTATTAATAAGCTTTGGAAGAAAATCAGAAACATGACATACACGTGTACACATGTACACATACAAACTGTTACAAACTGTTAAGTCAACAAGAACAAGTAATAAATAATCTACGGTACAATTCGTCATTGTTGAATAGCTCCTCAACATTTGAAAAATGTTCTGTGTATCAAACATTCCTGTTATCAGTCTTTCGTCTTACATAAAAAGGTACTGTACAAAATCGTTACATACGCGAGAACACACTCCCACATTTTCTGCACTTATGTATCTATATATAATAACACCTGATAACTGCGAACATAATTATCATTCAAAGCAGCGGTTACACGAGACATTTCTAACGATAGACGGAATGGTTCGCCACACAAACTCTTAGGAATGATCCTAGCTGTCGGATATAAAACTTGTATGTCCTGTACACGTGTCCTTTCGTGGAACCTCTCGGTAACTTAGCAATTCCAGCGATAAGTTGCATAAAACATTTAAAGATTTTACATGATTAAAATAACGAAATACTGCTACTACTTTGATCACGGTCGGCAGAATGTTTAGAAACACTCGAGCCTTTTGCATCTTCCAAACTTTCTGAACTAAAAATTCATTTGCTGAAGACTATTTGAACAAAAGTATGTGATATGCTGAGTGCCAATCCTGTTCAAAATGACTCATCTCGATGCATGGGTACTGAGGCAAAGAAAAGAAATCGATCGATTAAGTTTCAGGGCCAGAATCCTCCACCTGTCGTATAACCTCACCTACTCATTCAAGCATGACCTATTTGGTCAGATTCCTTCTGACCAAGTGTCCAACATGGCTGGCGAGACCTCGACGTAGCGAGTCTGTCTGTAAGATCAAATGCGAGAACCATGATATGTAAGGAGCATGCACAATCAATATGATTGTTTCATGCACCTCCTGCTGAAGAAGAGCGATTCATGTTTTCAGTAGCGGAAGAAAAGAAGATAAGAGTCTATCAGGGAGTGTGGAGGTTAGAAACTCGTGTGGAAGTAGCTGGCAAGCCATCTGATGGCAAACGGAGGAAACGTCTTTACAGACGCAACCTTGTGAATGATCCAAGAATGTGATACCCTGAGTACTTCGAAGGATGCAAGAAATGAAAAGACGGGCCGATAGTTTCACATAGCCAGATAGTTCAATGATACTTGGAAAATCAGGGATCCACATTTATTTGTTCTCCCTTTATTTGTTCACTATATGCAAAAACGCTACAGCTTATACATTGCATATACAGGTATGCGTTTAATAATAAAATCAAAAACAACAGAGCTCTCCGTTCCAGTGTCCAGAAATATGCAATCTCTTCAACCTTTTCCGCACCATCACCAATCAGATTGGACCGACCTGTTGCTGGCACAACATACAACTTTGTTAATCCTCGAAAAAAATGCACGTCTCCAATATTTTTCTCGTATACTAAATGCGACCGATAATAGATCGTAATCGAAACAATACGATACGCCATTGCTTAATAACAAAAACAAAAAATAAATGAAGATAATGAACCATACTCGCGGTAGCATCGCATCTTTTCCGCATTATTTTAAATCCAGCACTCTGATCAACGCGTTTTGAACCGATGATCGGTATTGTACTTTGGTGAGGCAGCACTTTAGGTCTGTTACTAGATCAGCCTAAGGTCCATTTTCTTCAGATCATATTTTCATCATGGTGAATTGGTCCAAAAAGGAAATATGATATTTGGACGATCGGTTCAAGCCGCGTTAATAGGTACTGTAATCAATATTCAATGTCCTCCAAACATGTTAGTATCAGCCAGAGGAATATCATCGACCACGCGACGAACAAAGTTCTCCTTGAAAAATGTAGTAACTCTCATAGAAATATCAAACAAATATATAGACTCTTTCTTATATACCTCAATTACTCTACAGCAATAGCGTGTTATTTACAAGTACAGTAGTGGACCGGGTAATTGTCGCCTGTACCGAACAGGAGACAGACTTAGCTCTTGGTCATCGGCTACAGAGTAGTACGACCTGTAGAAGTATATTAAAACGTCGTCAATAAAACGAAATAGGATAGGCGGGATACGCCTCAAAGTCTGTGCGAACATCATAGTTCAGAGAAACTCAAAGTCGACAGAATAGAAAAGAAAAGAGTATGAGACAGCATTTATCCGATTTGGAGGATCTTGCTGCGCTGATAGGACCACTAGACTCGTTTCGTTGAAATTTCCTCCCCAGAAGAATTTCTTTGCTGAATCGTTCATCGATAGTACAAAAAATACACGGACCTAGCGATCCGCGCTATCGTGGAACTTGAAGAAGTGAATCTTCATGGCTTTCTTGTTGGGATATTTGATCTTGCAATGAGGACAAGTTGCGTCCGTTGCACCTTCTACCACGTAGGTGCTCAGGTCTGTCTCCCTGTGGAAGTTTTTGTTCTCTTCAGCGTGGTAGATAGTCTTGTGCACGGTCAGCATGTGACTGGACATAGCTTGCTTGGTAAACACGTGCCGATCGCACAGATTGCAACTGTAGATCATAGAGGTGTGCGATAGCTCGTGATTCTTCAGTGCTACCGTCGTGTGGAACATCAGCTTGCAACCCTCGAAAGAGCAGATGTACTTGAGCGTGTTGTTCTTATGTTTCATGCTGAAGTGCTGCCGCAAATTCGACACACCAGGGAACTCTTTGAAACAAATGTTGCAAGACATCCTGCCCTCGGGACCGGCCAACGGAATTAACTCCATGGTCGGGCTCTTGGCGACGTTCTTCACCGTGCGGGCCTTGGTATGAGCGTGCTGTTTGTGCTTGTAGAGTACGCTCATGTTGGGGAAGAATTTTTTGCAAACATGACACATTACAGCCTTCTTGCCGCCGGCGCGCATTGTGTTCAGGACAGTCGTTGACTTCTGCGTCACGTCTTCCGCTTCCAATTTCACTTTCTTCGGTTTTGGTTCCACCGGCGACATTTTTGCCGTGTTGTTGAACAACGTTGGCGCTCGTTCGCTGAACATGTCCATGTGCAAATTCATCTTGTGACGCTGTAGCGACTGATTACTGCTGAATGACTTGTGACAGGCGTGACACGTGTACTGACTGGACACGGTAGGCTTTCTGGACATGGACTGGAACTTGGAAGCGGCTGCCACCGTGGCTTTATGCAGCTTCTTGTGTCTCCACAATACCTTCTTGGAACTGTAGTTTTTGCCGCAGATGTCGCAGGGGAAGGCAGACTTGTTGACCTCGGTCAAAATGGGGTGAATTTTGTGCCACTGCATGTGCATGTTGAACGCCTCCTGGCTAGGTAAGATATGTGTGCAAAGGTCGCACTGCAGTTTGACGTCGGTGAAATTCTTCTCGGACTTGTTGCGGGCACAATGAACATCCCACAAGTGTTTCCGTAGCTCCACCACGTCGTTGAATTTATCGTTACAAACTTGGCATTGGAAATTACCGCTACCCTTCGACGGTGCCGGACTGGGAAAGGACTTTCTCGCCCTAGCCGGCCGACTCGTGTTCGCTGTGGGCGATTGATCTTGAGTTTTGGACGACGGGTGTTTGAACTGTTTCACCCGTTTCTGATCCCCTCCTTCCTGTGCGATATCGGCAATCAACCGATAGTTAGTTCGGTTGTGCCAGCCCCTGTGTATCTTCAGAGACGCTTCTTCGTAGAATGTCTTGCCGCAGATATCACAAGCCCAATCACCGGACGAGTTACGCCCATTGTTATGCGCATTCCGACAGTGAAGATTCATGTTTGTTTTGAAAACAAAGGTCTTTGGACATTGAGGACACTGGTATAACGTCCTTGAGGATTTGTGCTGCAACGTCACATGACGATGGCACGATTCGGTACTTCTGAACACCCGAGTACATTCGGGACAATGTACGTACGGTTTGCCTGTTTTGTGCACGTTTCTTACATGTCGTCTGAGATTTGCGTAGTTCGAGAATTGTTTACTGCACATGGTGCATTTACTATTTTTGGTCGCCCCAGGATCCGAAACGGCGGTCATATTTAATGGCTTTGTGTCTTCCACCTCGTTCTTAGTCGTTCCGTATTCCACACACGAGATGTTTGCGTCCCTCTCGCCTGGATCTTCTATACCGTGATCCTTCATGTGGATCTCCAAAGCACCAGCACTGCTGAACATGCTGCGACAAATAACGCACGAATAAATCTTCACTTTCAGGTGAAGATTCCTGTGCTCTGTTAGTTCGGTTCTGGTAGCAAATTCCAAGTTACAAAGAGCACAACTGTACTTATTGCTATTGGTTATTTTGTTCGCGTTTATTTCAGCCTCAAAAGTGTCCCAGTCTTTGATAGGCGTTGATATGTTTGGCATGGTCGTCATTGATTCGTGATTGTTTTCAATCGACGGCTTTTTATTACGAGTACCACGATGCGATTCGTGATGTGTCAGGTAGTCACTTGGAGATCTAAATTTGGCGTTGCAAACGGAACAAACAAAATCTTTCTTTTTATGGTCCATAACAATGTGACTGTGAAACTTTTTAAACACAAGAAACGTCAGTCCACAGTGAACACATCTATAGGATGTCCTGCTCTCTGGTGGCAAATGTAAACACAAGTTTCTGTGCCTCAACATGTTAGGTCTAAACTTATAGATCATTCCGCATAAGTCACATGGGTGATTGTACAGAGAATCGCCATTATTGTAAGGCTGAGGAATCTGCAGACCTCCTTCGTGCACTTTATTCGTTTGTTTTGGTTTAGGCGGTGGCAAAGGCGCCATTGGTTTCAATTTAGGAGGAGATCGTGAAGGTGATATCAACTCCTCATACTGCTTGTCGGAGTGCTGCGACAGATGGCTAAGTAATTCCCTTCTGTTTCGCATGGCGCGCAAACACATATTACACGTGAAGTACTTTTCCTCGCCCTGTTTTGGTATAACCAAAGCAATTTTCATTGCACATTCAAACGACACTTCGCAGTGAAGCTTGAACATCGATCGATCTGGAAACTCTGTCATACATGCGATGCACGTGTACGGTCTTAAATCGGGCATGTGTTGACGAATGTGATTAAGCGTGTTCCTGCGATCGCTGAAATGTTGCTGACACGTGTAACACGAATAAGTTTTTAATTGACTGATAATGTTCTGTTGTACTTGAGTCAAGGGAGCATCCTTCTCCATGCTCATCAATTCATCTTCCAAATCTTCGACCAATTCTTCGCCATCCTGTAATTCTGTCAGCTCGGCAGTACCATTCTGTTTGGCGGTATGAAATCTTTCCATGTGCTTCGCGTAAGACTGTTTAGAATGCAAAATAATTTGACAATGTACACATTTCTGTTTAAAAACTTTTGTTCCTCTAAAGTGGGTGTGCGGACCCCGTCTAGTTCTTTTCTTGTTTACTGTTGCAGATGCATTAAACTTTTGTGTAGAATCAGCTTCCATAACCGTATCTTCCTTATTTGGAAGCTGATTCTGTAGTTCACCACCTGTAACAGATTCTATCTCTATAGTACAATCTGTATCATAGTCCTCTTGTGGTTCTAACTTTATAGATATATCTATTTCCTTTGAGAGTGTTGGTTGATCTCCTTCTATATCTATTTCATTATCAGTCAACAATGGTTGATCTCTGTCTACATCTATCTCACTATCAGTTAGTGATGACTGATCTCTCTCTACATCTGTTATATTATTAGTGAGCACTGGTTGATCTCTCTCTGTATATATTTCATTGTCAGTTAAGACTGATTGATCTTTCTCTGAATACGTTTCATTATCAGTTAATGCTGATCGATCTCTATCTATTTCTATTTCATTATCAGTTAGTTCCTGAACATGAACATTATTTACCAAATTGTTTGGGGTGTCTTCAATATTAGTTGGCTCCTGTGGACAAAATGCAGTATGCTTGCAACACATCTATACCTTTAATAATATAATTTCAAACATAGCATACTTACCAAATCTGACTCATTTGTGGATTCAGAGATCACTTCAATGTTATCTTCATAAAATTCCAGATCTATAGGTTCACTCTTAATACTTACAACCTATAAAAATAAGAATAATGTATTTCCTACAATTGTCTAAATTATCTTAAATACAAACTAATAGAATTATGGATAGTTACCAGTGGACCTGTTTGTACATGTTTTTCCAACCATGAACGTAATTTATCCTGGGAGCGAAGACACGCTTCTTTATAATTATGCCATTGGTTCACATTTTTAACGCATTCTGCACATATTTGTGTTGACAACCTGTCCGTGGCTAAAATCTAGAAGTACATACGTAGCCATAAATGTACACATACTTTAAACTTTTGATGTAAATCAAACTTCTGAACAACACAGTTAGTGCAAATGCATTCAAAGTCATGAGAATATAAAATTCATTCTAATTCTAGCTCGCTCTCTATGAAATCCATTACAAACAACAATAAAGAAATAAGCAAAATGCTTATAACCACTTCAGCTAGCTTAGCCCAGACACAACCCAATGTAGAGCTAACCTCAAAACAATAGAACTGCACACAAAGAAATTAGTTTAATGAGCAGAGAAGTGTAATGAAGGTAGGAAATGTTCAGAAGCTCGCTGATGTTAAATAACACAACGATACACATACCTCAATTGACAAGCAGGCTTGTATTTTATTGGCTAATGATACCGGGGATTCTTGTTCCCCAAATACCGACAATTTTGGTTCGTCGGTAGAAAGGCAAAGCCTACACACACTTTCCATATTTTGTAATTCGTCCACTTCGTCCATGATGGACGTAAACGTTTCCGACCTTCCCCGCAGGATACCACGATGTTCTGGCTGCCAACGAGACGCGTTTTTCAAAAGCAGGTTAGGGACGCAGCGTTTTGTTTGTACGTCGACATTTGAAACTGGAACTGTACGGTCCGATTCCACACACTCCACTCGTCCAAGGGAGAAGAGGCGCGCAGGTTGGAATGTGACGCGCTCCGCATTTTTGTGTGATATTCTTTTATTAAAAGAGTGCTATCGTGTTCTATTAGTATCAAAAGTGTGGAATTAGACCTCAGTTGCAAGAACGAGAAACCTTATGCAGAGACAAGGACCAGGAGATGCTGTGTTCTTCGAAAATATCTGCAGCCCCAAAGTGGCGGTTAAACAAGGAATGGGAGTAATGGTGGTAAGTTAATAAACACTATTTTACTTGGTCGAGTGGTTGTTTATTTTCTATGTATATCTCTCGCTATACACTTGACATATATGTAATTATTTTATCGTTTGTACATATTTGATAAGATAAATTGTACATATACAACTGGTAACCTGCACGGTTACATTTCGGTTCATTTCCTTTATTGTAATTATAACAAATTGTCGCCGATTACAATTTTGGAATCGTCGTATAACAAAATTAAGCGATCGATGTTTTTCGGTTTTGAGAATTTGCTACAAAATTGTCATAGTAACGTTATAAAAATAATACAATATGCAAAATTGGTGATCTTAAAACGCGAATTAAATTAGTCGAAAATATATTGCGTAGGGTCGCTGTCTAACGGTAGATGATCACGTGATCGATTCAAATCGCGAGTACGCCATTACGTCCATACAAATTTGTTCGAAGCAAAATGAAATATAGCGCAAATTTATAAAAGCAATTACGAAATTTTTTAATAAATTTTTATTACGATTATAATTTATACGATCCTATATACGTTTAATCGTGATTCAAATGCGGTTTAATGGTTTGCACCTAAGCTATCAGAGAAAGATTTTCAACCAAGATTTTCAAAAATTATTGAGCGTTCTCCTGAAATGTGTATGTGTGTACGTATACATGGCAGCTATGGAATATTGTTGGAAAGCTCTTCTACATGACGGTTATTCTAAAACCATCCTTCTACTTGGTACACCATGAGCTTTCGTGTGACATCATTGTTTCTAACACTGTAACGATTGTGTATACAGTGCACAAGTTAGAACCATCGAGACATTTCCTAAACACTATATCATGTCATCAGGGCTCGTCACCCTGCATTATGCTATTCACATTAATGTACAGTACAGAATTTAACCATCGATAAATATTTCTATATTTCTATACACGTATCATCAACAACAATTTCGTGTCGGTTTTCAAAAATATTCCCTTCCCGCGGGTCAATTTGTGCTTCGATGAGGGACATTGTACGTTTCCGGTGGAACAAACATTTCTAATTAAAATTTCAAATTCATTTTGTTTTTTTATCTAATAATTTATCGTTCCAATAAAAATTTCTGCAAAAAGATCGCGTTCGTTGGGAAAGATTGAATTATTGGTCAGCGTTTCCGGGACAATTACAAGCTTTCGAACGCTCATGATTTGGCGCCATCGTCACGGCCAACGAGTTCCGGTCCGTGTTCCACCATTCTCCCGATCTATCGTAGAGAAGCGTGCGCACTGAATTATTGCGCAATTCAGGTCGTCAGGCAATTGGAATTGAAGCAAGAATTTCGTTGAGATTGTTGACGAACGTAGTCCTGCACGTTGAATTTCGTGTCATCTGGGTCGCTGCTCTTTCTTGCCTTCAGTTCCCTGAAATTATACGACAAAACTCTTATTCTCTTTCCGTCCCAAAATATTCAATGATCTAGCCACAAGATTCAGACTATCATTATGCTATCAAAGTTAATCTAATTAAACAATTCTTTATGACTCTCTCGTAGCAATGACGCACTGAAAAGTTGATAAATGTTGGTCAAAGATTGTCTTACCTGGCAACAGCTAAGAAGGCCAATTCAACGTTCAGGCCGGTTTTAGCAGAAGTTTCCATAAAGGGGACTTTGTACTCTTGCGCCAATCGCTCACCGTCTTCCCTCTTCACGACTCGTTCTGTTCCGCAGTCGGATTTGTTACCTAAAAACGTTCATTTCAATTTGTTATGTTCTGGTCAAGTGAACACTTCTTAGATGAACATCTTTTTCTGAGACATAGTAACCTAGTATTAAGTTGCTAGTCGTCATGTCTGAAAGTCTGTTGTTGACTTGTGATTCATTTCGAGCAGTGTTGCTCAACTTCTTCCAAATCTTTTGTCATATCTCTAGCGTTTTATCTGGAGCTTATAGATTTGTTATATTGCCACAGTGATGTATGGACAATTTTCATGGCTGGAAAGTTATTGGGTTGGACTAAATTTTTATTTCTTTCATGGCAAAGGAGTATGACTGCGTTTGTGATACGAGTAGTAAATTTAATATATAGCGATTCTAATATGTGGCAATATGATGTGTTAGGTATTGAATAAACGGCGATATAATGCATGGGAAATCTAATATATGGCAATATAACGTGTAGCAGTACGTCGAGTTAGAAATCTAGCAAATGGCGATATAATGCATGGGAAATCTAATGTATGGCAACATAACGCGTAGCGGTACGCCGAGTTAGAAATCTAGCAAATGGCGATATAGTGCATGGGAAATCTAATATATGGCAATATAACGTGTAGCGGTACGCCGAGTTAGAAATCCAACAAATGGCGATATAATGCATGGAAAATTTAAGACGTGAGGATATAATGCGCGGCGATATAACGCATTAAGAATCTAACAAATGGCGATATAACGCGAGGAAAAATCTAATATGTAACGATATAACGCGAGGAAAATCTAATATGTGACAGTACATAATAGAATTTAATGCGCAGTAAATCTAACACGTTGCGAATTAACGCGTGGCGATATATCGCGAGGCAAATTTAACGCGTGGAAAATCTGACATGGCGATATAACACGCGGCAATATAATGCATGACAAACTTAACGAACGTCGAATTTAATGCATAACAAATCTAACGTGTTAGCATATGAAACACGGTGATTTAACGAGTGGTGATATATCGTATGGCTAACACACAGCGATTTAACGATGCGATCTATTCCTTAGTATCTAATCTGTAATACTCGTCAATTTGATGCATAACGTGAAAATTGCAATAAATAACGTGAAATATAACTAACATGAAAATGGCAATATATCGAGAGTCTACAGTATCTAATTTTATCAAATGAAAACATTGAGAGTCTTTACCCGATTGTTGGTTAACGAGTTAAAACACTTACAATTAGCTCTTCCTAGAACGTTCTCCTCGACTTTCTACGAAAGCAAGAAACCTAATCGAAACTGCAAGAACCAGTTGCCGTTGTGTACATCGATCACAAGCAACTTTCTCAGAAGTGACAAAGAAAACCTCTCGCAGGTTTTCCATCGATTTCTTCGAGAATCGTTAGGGTTATCCATGGATGCAAAACTCAGATCATAATATGTACTCACCTAACAGCATGATGACCACGTCCTCCTTCGCGTGTTCTCGTATTTCGCTCAGCCAAGCTCTGATGTTGTCGTAGCTCGTCTTGTTCGTCACGTCGTAAAGCAATAAAAGAGCTGCAAGCAATAATGATCGTTTTGAAGCGTTGTGCAATCGTCCGTGATCCTGGTAATTGGTAGACGCGGAAACAAAAGAACTTACGTCGCGTTTGTTACGCGTTCGTAGAATGTCGTTGGTTCGTGTTTTTACGTTCAACCGGAGAGATTACTCGCGTGCCTATCCCGTCGTTAATTGAGGAATTTAAATGGTAAGCGATGCTAGTCAGAACCGAAGACTTTTAGAAGACGAAAGGAACGTATGTCTATTCAATCAGATTATCGAAATGATAGCACGTCCTTGAGATTATTTCGAACTTTATGTTTGTGGATGACAAATGTCAGGGCAGAAGAAATGTGATATTAAATTGGAATGTCGTCGGTGATCTCAGGGTTGATATAAATGAAAAGCGCGGATGTCGTCACTCATTAGCCACCATTACTGCTCTTCACTGATCTTTAAATAATTACCTTGAGCATCCCTGTAATAGGCGTGTGTCACGCTACGAAATCTTTCTTGACCAGCAGTGTCCCATATTTGGAGCTTGATCGATGTGTCGTCGACCACGACCACTTTATTCTGAAAGACAAGATATCATATTTTTATTAATTTTACTAATTAATTTGACGATATTTGTTCAATGTCCACTTAAAGTCTAAACACCGTAAGAAGATCGCAGAGGAAATAATCTTTAATCTCCTATAAGAAATTTTACAAGAGTTAAATTCTTCTTGTCAGAGTTATAATTTGACCCAACTGTATGAAACACTAATTTAGTAAGTGTTTTAGTAAGCCCTGTTAAATGAATGCATATTAATATTTATATGTCTATTATTAAAATGTAGAATTCAACACTTATAATATTTCTTAACAAAGATATGTTTCCTTTGAACCTTCCACATGCGAGCAATGCATTCTATGATGATGTATGACATTAGCCATATAAAATGGGGATACAGTGTCTCACCCTAAAATCAATGCCAACGGTAGTTATATAGTTGCCAGACAGGAATCGTCCATCTCTGAATCGCGTTAGAAGACACGTCTTCCCGACGCCACTGTCTCCAAGTAGCATCACCTGAGACGCGTGAAAATCCTCTGTGAAAATAGCTAGGAAAACGCGGAATGACATTGGACGCTTTCGCGTTGATAAATTGAACTCGCCCGAGGCATCGAACGTACTCGCGTTCAAACTTCATCTAATTTACAAGCAATGAAGAAAACAAAGTTAAAACTAGCTGTTAATACCAGTAGCTTTTAATAGTTTCTTCAATAAGAACCAGTTGATTCCAGATCGAAATGTATCACGCAACGAGTCCGTGTCCAAACGTATTGACATAATTATCATAAACTCGATAGCTGAGAAGTAAACGTGTAATTAAACGAGGTTTTAACGATATCGTAATTTCAACTGCTTGATGTAAGATTCTGACTAACGTCAGGTGAACTGTATTTGCATTGGCGTAACTAAGTGGGGATTAGAGCGGTCTTCGGCATTTGTATCGTATGTGAATTGGTCTTTATTTGGATAGGAATTTTGGAAATGGGTATGGAAAATATTTGTTGGGTGATAAAATTTAATATTCGTATAGAAATTATGGGTGAAATTGTGATTACTGCTGTGTTGGTACACGCGGAGTTATCGGGCGTAGAATTACCACGCGTGGAGTTATCTATGCATCGAATTACCACGTGTTGAATTACCTACGCGCCAAACTACCACGCGTGGAATTATCTACGCATCGAATTACCACGCGTGGAATTATCTACGCATCGAATTACCACGCGTGGAATTATCTACGCATCGAATTACCACGCGTGGAATTATCTACGCATCGAATTACCACGCGTGGAATTATCTACGCATCGAATTACCACGCGTGGAATTATCTACGCATCGAATTACCACGCGTGGAATTATCTACGCATCGAATTACCACGCGTGGAATTATCTACGCATCGAATTACCACGCGTGGAATTATCTACGCATCGAATTACCACGCGTGGAACACGCGTGGCATCGAATTACCACGCGTGGAATTATCTACGCATCGAATTACCACGCGTGGAATTATCTACGCATCGAATTACCACGCGTGGAATTATCTACGCATCGAATTACCACGCGTGGAATTATCTACGCATCGAATTACCACGCGTGGAATTATCTACGCATCGAATTACCACGCGTGGAATTACCGCGCGCAGAATTACCACGCGTGGAATTATCACGCGTCGAATTACCTACGCGTCGAATTACTACGCGCCAAACTACCACGCATGGAATTATCTACTCATCGAATTACCACGCACCGAATTACCACGCGCCGAATTACCACGTGTTGAATTACTATATGTAGTACTACCATACGTTGTATCGCTACGCGTTGAGTCGCCATGCGTGGAATTACTACACGCATCGTCACCGTAGCATTCTCTAATCACTTAATATACCGCTAAATTTAGTTACGCCAATGCATATTTCCTCATTTCAACATCTGGTAAAACGCCCGTTTGATATCGACTACAAATAATCACTTTCCGTTCGAAATTACCTGATTGAAATATTCACGACTGAAACATTTCGAAGGTAAAACAGCAACGAGAAGTGCGAGATCAGCGATTTCCGTTAGATATAAAACGTTAGATATCCATAGACTGAGATTGCGGTAAAATTAATGTTCTGTCTTAGACTTCCTTTTGACAAGAAATTAGTTGATTAATGTAATCATTTAAGTTGGCAACACCAGATAAAACCTGATTCTTCAATTAAGAATGTTCGTTCGGTTATAACTGTGTGCTAAAATAAAGTAATTATGTTTTTGTTTTATGACATCACAAGCTTAATGCAATGAAAGATTCATATATCGGTTCTGAGAATATATGCTGTATGTTTGCAAACGGAACGACCGTGATTCGCTCGTGAAATCGAATGGTTCTTCAATTAACTAATTATTAACGAGGCAGTAGCAATCTTCGGAAAGAGGATTCAATCTATCAAATTAACCTTTTGCGGTTTACCCAGCTTTTGCAATGAAATATTTTGTGGAATATGAAGTGCTCTAGCAGCAATTAATTCATTACTACTAAATGTCTAAATATCTGAAAGACCGATCGCAAGACTGCCCCCCTTAACTAGCACACGTTTCCTAAAGCAGCAATGACCTATCGACTGCTGGGTATCCTACACAGCTATCTATGTTCTAATTCTAACCGCAAAAGGTAAAAGCGTATTTCCTATTTCCCTGTTATCGATCGTCGCAAGTTCGATCGTGGTGCGGGCATCGATGTATCAGGAGAGAGGGCAGGACCTTGAAAAGGAGCTCGCCGTGTTCGGGTGGGGCCTGTTGTCCCGTCGAGTCGAAGCTGTCCCGCGAGGACTGCCGCCTGGTAGGTCCCATCGACTCCTGGGGCTTGTTAAAAGCGGAGCCTGTCGTTTGGGCCTGGGAGGGGGCAGTTGGGGCAGGTCCCCTAGCCCCACCAGAGGAACGGGCCCCTGTCGACCAATCGGAAGCCGTTGTCCCGGTTCCACGTTGGCCGTGCCTGCTGCCGCGCTTCGTCACGCCACGCAGCTTCTCCTCCACGCTGCTCATGGGCCCCTGCTACCGGGAGCACCAATTTGCTCTTCTTCTTCTCGGCCACTCCTCGTCGCGCTCGTCGTCCTCGACGTTGTCCCGCTCCTTCTGTTTCTCCCGACGATCGACCGGGACGCCTTTTTCTCGGGGTCAATCAACTCATCGACCAGCGGCGGAGAGGGACGCGGTACGCCTCGCCGTTTCACTTTGCGCCTCTTCTGCCTTCCGCTTCGCCCGCTTCTTCGACTCGAGCCAACAAGCCAGTGAAAGTACCACTCCACGATCGCTGCCTTTCAGCCTGCCTCGATTTCGAACCGATGCGGTTTAACGATCACCTAGATCACATCCACTCCTTCAATTCGGGGATCACGCACTTTCTGGGAAAGCCCTATCTTTTTACGATCTTTTTACGATCAAGGGACAAGTAGATTTCATGGCCGCAACATCGAACCCTTTCATACATTATTTGTGTGACTTCAAGAAGCTTGAATTGCAAAATCAAAGATCATGCTGGTGGACAGAAAATTATACAAAAGATCAAATCTTCGTTTGTTAAGTGTATCATGTACTTATGTATGTGATAGGTACTTATGAAGATTTATGAAACTTATCTATAAGATCCACATAATTAAAATGTACCAAAGCTGATTCATTGTCAAGTGCTGTTATCTAAAATGTACCATGAAATGTGCTGTTATGTAGAGCATGTTTATAGGAGAAGAGCCTTGCAGGACAAACAGCCATATGTTAAAGCATATGCGTACACCTTGCATAGCCAATTAGTTCAATCATTAAACTGTTTAATCTATACTTGACAAGTCGAAAAAGTATGCAGTAAATTCAAATACGTCCATGTAATACTTGCAAAAGTGTGTCAAAATTACCTACGTCGAATTACCTACGCGCCAAACTACCACGCGTGGAATTATCTACGCATCGAATTACCACGCGTGGAATTATCTACGCATCGAATTACCACGCGTGGAATTACCGCGCGTAGAATTACCACGCGTGGAATTATCACACGTAGAATTACCACGCGCCGAATTACTACGCGTCAAATTATCACGCGTCGAATTACCTACGCATCGAATTACCACGCGTGGAATTATCTACGCATCGAATTACCACGCGTGGAATTACCGCGCGTAGAATTACCACGCGTGGAATTATCACGCGTAGAATTACCACGCGCCGAATTACTACGCGTCAAATTATCACTATGTTTCCTCTATACAGCTAAACTATTGTTCACTCGTTACAATGTCAGAGAACAAAGGAAGCATAAATGAGAATTTTGTCTATACTTGACAAGTCGAAAAAGTATGCAGTACATTCAAATGCGTCCATGTAATACTTGCAAAAGTGTGTCAAAGTTAACTCAAACTACATGAATTGTACTCTAACAAATTGAACCTAGCTCAATGCTGTTTTTTGGCTAACTCTATAATATATGATACATACGACATCTATAACATATAAGACATCTATAAATTCTACATATGTAATCAAGAAGTTCAACACCGTCCAGATCAGCCATAAAATGTCTGACAGACCGATACAAAAATTCAGACACTTGAACGACAGACACTTAACATTTCGAACCGGCGCTAAAACGTTTATGGATTATTCAAACTAACAGTATATCTTGACTATCGATTTCACGGAATGGTAGAAATCCTGGTATTTGTGCAATGAAAACATTTTGGCCAAATACAGCGGGTCGGGTACCGTCGTCGACCATTTATCGGATTACACTGCAGATCATCCTGTTCGAGTAACCCAAACGTTTCACCGTAGTTGATCGAACAAATATTTGTAACGCTGTCGAAACTTTCGAAGAAGCTGTTCGATCTACATCTCTCGTTCACAGTTTCCAATCTTCATCCTTCTCGAAACTTTTCACAATGCACCTTCATCGGAGGAGCTAAACATCAAACACCGGCTATCGAAGTATTTCGTGCGTGCAAGACTACCTGCTAAAACTTTCAGAACCTGTCGAAACTTTTTCTTCTTGCAATTTTCCTGATGTACGAAAGTAACATTCTTCTGGGCTGCCTTTCGGCTTTTGTTTCAATAACGATTCAGAGTTGCGAGATCGTTTTTCATTTATTTTTGGTCGCGTTTATGTTTCAAGATTTTATGTCGTTTGGACTTTTGGGATTTGGAAGGTTTCGAGGGTTTCGAGGTTTAGGATTTTGGGGCTGTGAAATTTTTGGGGTGTTTGGAACTTTTGAAGTTCGGAATTTTGGGATTGTGGGATTTCGGGGTGTTTGAGCTTCCAGAGTTTCGAATTTCTGGATTTTTGAGGTTTCGGCTTCTGAAATTTTGGGATTGTGGGATTTCAAGGTGTTTGAGCTTCCAGAGTTTCGAATTTTGGACTTTTGAGATTTGGTGCTTGGAATTTTGGAACTTTTGAGGTTTCGGCTTTTGGAATTTTGGGATTGTGGGATTTCAGAGTGTTTGAGCATCCAGAGTTTCGAATTTTGGACTTTTGAGATTTGGGGCTTGGAATTTTGGGACTTTTGAGGTTTCGGCTTCTGGAATTTCGGTATTCTGAGTTTTTGAGGATTTGGGGCTTTCAGACTGTGAGATTACGGGTTTTTCTGAGCTTTGAAGTTTGGAATTTTGGGATTGTGGGATTTCAGGGTCTTCAAGCTTTCAAACCTTTGAATTTTGGGATTTTTGCGATTTAGAGAATTTAGTGCTTTCGAACTTTCGGTCTTTGGGACTTTAGAAGTATTGAACTTTTGGATTTGAAAGATTTGGAACTTAGAAACTTGGAGACTTCAGATCTTTGCAATCCTGGAACTTTGGGGCTATTCATCTCTACTCTGATCTTTGGGATTATTGATCCCATGATTTTCAAATATTGGAATCTTACAATTTTAGGCCCATCTAACTTCAAAAAAGAATGCCTCCTAAAAAGTAATAAATTTTGTTCCTACCAAAAATAACCATCACAAATGTATTTTACTCCACAAGAGTCATATTAGTCCACCATGAAACGTTGAAAGCTCGCAGTTTCCCCATCGCCATGTTCCCTAGGGAAGGCACCGGATTATCCGGTGTACAGGTAGAAGATTATAGGTCAAATATAATTCGCGAGGACTTCAAAGCTCCGAGTTGTTATTACTCGACTTGTTACGTGGTGGATTGTATAACTATCCGACACCTGTGTTGATTTGACGCGCACATCGTACTCGGTTACATAAACAACGAGCATGCTTTAATTAATCCGCGAAATACCCTCGTTCCTTTAACGATCCTCGCGACTGTTTGGTCAGGTAAATTCGTCAACATGGACATAATTATTGGATGCTGCTTTGTTGTGACAAACAGCAATCAAGAAACTACTAGCGTTCGTGCTGCATATTCTGTGAGATCTCTAATCACGATAACTATGGCTCGATTAAACAAAATGCTTTGTATTTCGACTGTGAAATGCATTGGTTTAGAGAGTGGCTGTTTTGTTTATGCAATGGAATTTTTTAGGTGTAATATTATGTACATAATATTAGTAGTCATTGCTAGCACTAATAATTATTATTAAATCAGAAGCAACAGTAAAATTAATATTTTTCTAAAATTTCAATCAGCGTAACAAATCTAAGAAAATGTAAAAATAAACTTCAAGATTTAAGCTGAAGAATGTCACATAAATTATAAATTGAATCGCCGACATAAAAATTGCGGATCTCTGACGATTTTATAAATCGTATATTTTTCGATATAGAAGCAAATAAAATATGTAATTTCCGCTTAATGAGACGACCGCTCGTTAAGAGAATCGACCGCGTTATTACGAGCTTGGAGACCGCGAAAGGCGCGCGTGTGTTCGTCGGTCGATCGCAAAAATCGACGTTTCCGTTCGAGCAAATTAAACCCGGAGCAATTACGAACTTGTCATGACAACCTGATTGCCATGTCAAGGCGCATGCTAACGAGTTGTTTTGTACGACCGGTTGAAAGGACCGAGTAGCCGCTTTTGTTTCGAATGTACATATTTTACAAAACAACGGCCACCGCAAATTATGAGGTAACCGGTACACGCGTCGCCGAACAAAGCGCTGTTAACATTTTCCGAGGGAAATACAGAAGCGAGCTCGGGTGATTAACGGTACGTCAATTATATGCTTCTTACGTCCGAAACTTGCTGAACAAAGAAACTTCGCTGACTGATCAGATTAAATTTTGCTCGAAACTTGTATGGAAGTCGCAAGCTTCTTTTCTCTTTAAATCCTGTTCATATTTGGACCGACTTTGATTCGTTAGAAGACTTTTGTATTAGACTTTTGTAGATTATACGTTTGTACTTCACCATTGATGTAACGTTTAACAAGGTTATAAGCAATTCAGCATTTAACAATGGAGACTTAGTGAACGTGACTGACTGCAGGTTCAGTTGAAAGAATTATTCACTGGAATAATTAGATGAAAGGTACTTTTGAAGGTTTATAATGTCCAGGCGATGTGGACACAATATGGCAGATAGACAATGATGTAGTCAAGGTGATACTAGTTACAATGATGCAGTCAGATGAATACATGAAATTGAAGGATAAAATATCTCTGTTCTTAATAACTCATCTTAAGGATTTGAAGGTTTGAAGCTACATAATGTTCAGACAATGAAGTAGACACAATATAGTACTCAGACAATAAGATAGTCAAGGTGATATTAGTTACAAAGATGCAGTTAGAGGAATACGTGAAATTGAAGGATAAAATATCTCTGTTCTTAATAACTCATCTTAAGGATTTGAAGGTTTGAAGCTACATAATGTTCAGACAATGAAGTAGACACAATATAGTACTCAGACAATAAGATAGTCAAGGTGATATTAGTTACAAAGATGCAGTTAGAGGAATACGTGAAATTGAAGGATAAAATATCTCTGTTCTTAATAACTCATCTTAAGCTTTTGAAGGTTTGAAGCTACATAATGTTCAGACAATGAAGTAGACACAATACAGTACTCAGACAAAAGATAGTCAAGGTGATATTAGTTACAATGATGCAGTTAGATTGAAACATCAAATTGAAAGATAAAGTACCTCTGTTCTTAATAACTCACCTTAAGGTTTTGAAGGTATGAAGCTACATAATGTTCAGACAATGAAGTAAACACATCATACTACTCAGACAATGATATAATCACAGTAACCTTAGTTACAAAGTTGCAATGAAATTAATACATGAAACTAAAACATAAAGTACCTCCCTTCTTACTAACCCATCTCACAATACATCAAAAAATCAGCTTTCGCCCAAACTCGAACCTACTGTCCCTATTAGGTAATCAGTTCCAAGTGTCGCAACAGGTAAAGTCGT